GGAGGACAGAAAGTAGGTGGGACCATGCATGTGGTGGGATATTATAGTGTGGTGTCCGGTTGAGAGGAGAGAGAGGAGAGGGGGACCATGTATGTGCAGATAGAGAAGACAGGAGGACCAGATCAAAAAAAAGAAAAAGAAGACAGAAGGACCACACGGAGTCTTTGGTTGGTCAAGTGAATGTCCGAAATCCGGTATAGCTTCCCCATATTTGTCTCTATTTTGCCGAAAAATGGACGTCCAGGCCACTTTGCGAATTGATGCGGGTCCGCATTAAATTGCAAAAGTGAATGAAACTATTCGATCGGACATATACTGAAGGTTTGAGGGTCTCCCTTAGAGATACCCTAAGTTTTTTGATGTAGAAAACTCGCTTAACCATCAAAAGGATACCGTTCTTTATTTCTGTAACAACATTGGCTACATGACTTGGCTCGTGCATGCGGGCTCCTTTAACACGATCATTGTTCGAGTCCTTATTGTGCAATTTCTTCTCTTAGTCTAATATGTAACACAAACAACCAATGAAAAAAAAAAGATGACTACAAAACATTGTGTGCAATGAAACGACCTACGAGAAAATAAATGCGTGATTTTTGTGACTTATGTGGGTGGGTAATTATTATCAACTTCGGGTGCAACTAAGAGCATCTCCAACAACCGCGCCAAAATATGTGCGCGCGCGGTAAACTGATTTTTTTAGCGCGCGTGGGATGTTTTCGCGCGCTCCAGCGGTGGCGGGAAACTAGCGCGCGCGAGAAAAGACGGCAGCTTGCGCAGTACATTTGGCGCACCTATAAATTGCGGCACTTGCCACGCGGCAATCCACATTGCCACGCACGCTCTTCTCCACTTTCTCGTAGCTCCCTTTGCTTTCTAGCTGCTGCAGAACCCCCCACCGACGCGCCACCATGCCGCCGCGCCGCCGAGGAGCGTCAGGCTACCGCGGCGTCCGCCAGCGCCCCAACGGCTGGTACTACGCCGAGATTCGGTCCGGCGACGTTCGGCTCGGCCTCGGCACCTTCGAGACTGTGCACAAGGCTGCCTGCACGTACGACGTGGCGGCGTGGCGCCTAGATAGGCCGCGCGCGCAGATAAACTTTCAGGACGTCCACACGCGCCAGCAGGCGCAGGACGTCGCCCCTTCGCCTCGTCTTATCACGGACCAGGACCGTGCGGAGCACACTCGGCGGCAGCGCCGTCTCCTCATCGTCGAGGAGGACGAGCGAGGCATGGCGGAGTAGCGCCGGCGCCACCTGAAGGACGTCGCCAACAAGCAAGCCTACCGGGCAGAGAGGACGGCAAAGCGCCGCGCGGATCGGTTGAACAGGCGTCGGCGGAAGGCCCTGGCGTTATCGCAGTGCGATATCGTTGAAGCAAGTGGGCAGTCGATCTTTACGAATAATGATCATTGTTGGGAGGACATGTGGCTCGATACCCCGGAACAGACCAGCGAGGATGATAATGATGATGATTAGGACGACTGGGAGTAGCTTGTAGTTGCACTATCTAGTCGTTTTTTATGTCGTTGCATCGTAGTTTTATCTATCTATACTATGGAACTATGTAAAATATCTATGTATCATTTTTTTTTAAATATGTATGCAATGTCCGTGTGATAGCACGCGCTGCATTTTAGCACGGCCGCTGGAGCTACGCGCGCTAAATTTTATCGCGTCTGCTGAAGCCAGCGTTGCCCGCCGCGCTAAATCAGATGATGGACGTGCTGCAAAGTACTTTTTAGCACACCGCGTGTTGCACGGCTGTTGGAGATGCTCTTATAACTAGCAAGGTGGGTAATTACAATCTACTTCTGTTTTTTTACATGGTTTACTATCTACTTCTGGATGGATGAAAAAATCGAAGAAACCCACCATATAGATTTTACTATCGCAGTTGCTCCATGTATATAAGTCGTACTGCGTTCAATCAATTGCGCCAACAGCCCATCGCATCGTGAACTTGTAGCAAGCGAAAATGGAAGCTTCGTACATGCTATGGCTTGTGTACGTTTCACTCGCCTCTTGTGTCCTCTACAAACTCTTCCTTGTAGGCAGTAAGAGTTCGCGGCTGCCGCCGGGCCCGACGCCGATCCCTCTCCTCGG